AAGAAATCTAATGAATTTTATAAATTAATCAAACTGCTTTTATCAAGCACACAAATTCAATTTATATTGGAGCAGAATAGGTGAAAGAGATGATGACACAGTCAGCCACGCTACGACTTAGTCACTTGTAATATAAATAATTAAATAAATTGAACATTAATTCATTGTGAAATCTTTGAGATGCAGATAATTCTTTGATAAGCTTTTATTAATGTTATCATTTTACATCCCTTAAGGTTTGCTTGAAGACAAGCAAATTTAAGTTGAAATAGTTGAAATGAAATTTGTAAACGGATGATTTTCAGTGAACATATCAGAACGAGCGTACGTAAATTATCTTGTCTACTTATGCTCAATTCCATCAACACAACAATGTTTTTCAATATCTAACTAAACGCTTTTCATGTGTGATTGATTTTTCTGAGTATTGAAATTAAAAGGGAAACCAAGGTATCAAAATGAAGACATATGCACACTATCTATATAGGTAGATAATCGTTATCGGATTTTGATGGATTATATTTTGAACACTATGAAAATATTAAGGGGAAAATGTCCTACTAGAAAATAGATGTTTAGTTACAATAATAAACAAAGTCAAACTATGAATGTGAAAAGACTAATTTACCATATAAAGTTAAGAGCTTTACCATGTACTCATAGAAGCTGGGACATGTGTTACGTATGCCCAACCGCCGACTGCCTCGACGTGCGATGTTTTATGTTGTAGGAGTAGGTCGGAAGAAAGCTAAGGGCGGCCAGACCAAAACATGGCACATGTCCATGAAGTCACTGACAAGTGGTCTGATTCATGTTGGTAGGTGTAGACTACTTGGTTGGGGACCGCGAGATGATAGCAACCGATGGTTAGAGACCCTGAATGACATGGCTTAAAATCATTTGCAATGGAGCAGGTGCGTCCACTCTTTGTGTTCTCCCAAATTCTAATCTTCTGAATCCTCCCTGTCACTTTTTTCCTCTTTCCAAATTTATGTCACTGGATTATACTCCTTGAATAACATCTTCAAACCCTAATCTTTCCGATTACTGCTGATACTTTTACTACCTCTACCACAATGGGATTTGAATCGAAAACTGCATTTCTGTGCTAATGTGGTATGGCAACTTGAACTTATGTACGTATGTAAGAAGTTCTACGTTTTTGACTGATTGACTGAGTGTTCAAACTTGGTTATCTTTATGACTAAATTGAAATATACTAGCTTGAAAACTTATTCAAAGAACAATTAATACGCCGTTGTCTATTGATAGCACTGAGATCAAAAGTACATTCCACCATCCTCGATTGAATTTTGGTGCTAAGAATAGTTTTACAAAAATACACAAACAACATAACAGAATTCTGTTTTGATAACTTCAAAACAGTTGTCGTTTGACTTTGAAGTTCCGTTTACAAGTCAACAGAATTGTTATCAATAACAAATTTTTTTAATGGTATAGCGTGTAAGAAATTCTTAACCATTAATATACCCATGTTATCGTTCGGATTAACGATATCCGTACAAGCAAAATGTTTATACAGACTATTCATCACAGAATATGAAAATGATCGATTAATATTATTATTAAAATCGGATCATAAATTGGTTATCGATCATAATCATGTTCACTTTTTCATAAGATGAAATCTTATCAATCAAATTTTAACATTCATAGTACAATAGCATATAGTAATATGTCATGAACATGTTAGCATATACGTAGTGATTGATGTACATAGATTTTTTCACCTTATTTATAAAAAAAACCAGACATTTAGATAAATTTGTAAAGTAAAAATGTATGTTAAAGTGCACTTGAACAGTTGTTCTTTATATAATTTTATCTTTCAAAATGCATTTTGTGAATCTGTGTAAAATATTGACCATATATATATCAAGAAAGTTTTATTAAGTTATTGAATTGGTTGTAGTTTGACATTAACACTGTTGGACGCCAGCTCAGTGGTTTAAAGATTAAGCGTTCGCACGCGAGACTGATAGGTCGTATGTTCGGATCTCGCGAGGTGGGATCGTGGATGCGCACCGCTAAGGAGTCCCATACTAAGCTGAAACGGCTGTTCAGTGTTTCCAGACTTTCCATGGTGGTCTAGCTTCAATGGACTCATGAATTCAATTATTAAATTACTTCAATCTCCACAAAACCCCTTCTCTGATTACTGAATAGACCTTGGATACTCTTTCATTAATAAAAGAAATGTTTACTTTGTTGAAAAACCCTTGTAGTTTTGACGCTTATAACAGTTCACGTGCAATTGAGTTTGTTCACATTTAATTTGGTTAAGCTCTTTTGTTAAATTATTTAACGGATAGTCATTCGTACAATAACAACTTTTCTATACCATTGTACCTTTATTATTGTTGCACTTGTATGAATATGTATACTTGAGCATTGCTTACTGCCTATGCATATATTCATTCTGCTAGCCTTAATATTAGTCGCTTAATTGATTCGATGATTCATTCATTTCACTATGTATATGTATGTACATTTTAATTCTGTTCATTGACTCGCTCATTCAACTCGCACACTCACTTGCTTGCCCGTTTGCTTTTCGGCACTACTCTTTCATGCTTGCTTAGCGTACCTGTAATTTTGATGATCTGTGCATGATTCAATAATAAACTTGATCAACACTTTGTATTCGACTTCTGGTTTATACACCGTTAAGGCATTATCTAATGACGGTTATCAGGATGAACATGAATACGACGTTTAAAGATGATATTGAATACCGACCACAACACCCTTATTATACATTAATCTAGATGTTGTTTTCTTCCTCAGTGATTCATTTAATCTCTAGATCATTTATTTTTTACTATCAAACTTAGTGGAATCTAATAAATCACTGAAAATAATGGTGCACATTCGTCTACTATTTCAATGTACATCCGTAATTCTTATCATTTATTCAAAATCTTCTCTTCCTGTGTATAAACTCCAAATGTGGAAAGATAAATTACAATTTGATGAAATCAATATTCATTACACAAATTCTTTACAAAGTATAAACATGTACATAAAATTAAATGTAACCAAATGGTATTTTAATAAATGACTCATTCAAAGAAGAATCAAGAAACTAAATATTTCTATCTACCCTAACCATATTGATTAAACGATTTGTTAATTACCAAGTTATGTATATATATATATTTCTTCTTCCTCTTAGAAACATATTCATTTTTCGATGTTGCTAACAGCCTTAGAAAATAACTAGTTTTATCTTACATGAAATAAACTTGAAGCATTTCTCATAACTTGGTTCTTTGTTTAGTTGTTCAAGATTGTAAGTGTCAGGAATTTGGTTAGATAGTTTGTATTTCACAATACATTCATAAACAAAATATTCATGAATGCATTTGTTTACAGGGTAGTAAGTGCCTAGATTATTCATATTTACAAATGTCCTTTATAGCATCTTACAAGAAAAGCTGTTATTTAACATTTTCTGCTAGGCAACTGAAGTTAACTAGTTGGATTCAAAATTATAATGTAGGATTGAACAAGATTGAGGAGAAAACCAATGGTGACACTACAATTGCATCACCGTGATCAATGCTGAACCATGTTCTCAATCGAAACACTTAAATACATAGTTATAATCCTATGTATAATATGCTATCTGTCTAGACATTTAAAGCATTATTAACAACATATGCTTTCGTAATCATCTATCTGTATCATTCTTTGAGACATTCCTCATTAGGTTAGCCATTCTAATCGAAATAGAATTTTCTCGTGGAAGTACTGGCTTTATTGGAAAGGAAGTAACTTAAAATTAGAGATCTATAGATTTCCTCCCCTCTAGAAAGAATTGACTTATAGGATAAATATCTGACAATTGTCATAAATAAATATGTTATAAATATGGTTACAAGACACCCATAGAAACCATCAATTATCGTAAATATAGGTTACACCTTGATTAGTAAAAGCTTGAATTACCCATTGAACAAAATAAACAAATACTAATAAACAGTTAATGTATTAAATTTTTAACTTAAATTTAAGATTTCATTGTCATTTGATCGTAATATACGAAATGAGTTACATGAGTTCCGTATAAATTTCCAAATCCTCTTTTCAGTTGAACAGCTCTTAAACATTGTTATTCTATAAGCAAAGATGGATAGTGGCTAGTAATGGACGCGTATTTCGTCCTATTCGGGACTCGTCAACCGGATATACCTGCATCCCAGAGTTGATGTTCACTTCGAGATTTGAACTGATTACTGTTCACTTCAAATACTATCGTTTTATCCACTTAGCTACTAAATCCTGATAGCCATCTGTTTGTGCAATGTAGAGAATTTTAAATTCACTTAGCGTTGTTTACTTGTACTTTCCTATTATTATTTAGGACTACAATTGATCAATCTCTTGTTTTACAGTTTGCGTGTTATGAATAACTTATATAATCAAATTATTGTATGAAATTTATTCTATACTAATGGTGATTTAAACATCAGTTTACATATTATCTTGCATGACAGTGACTGTATAACCATACCAATTCAATTTTCAATAAATAAGTTACAAATTTCGATAGAGCAATGAGAAGATGAAGTTGATCTAAAAGAAAATGTGATATATTGTTCAAAATGTATAATGCAAATACATCACATTTTTCCTGAGATCAACTCCATCTTCTCATTGCTCTATCGAAATATGTATAATAGACTAAATACTTTAAATTAGATTACACTATTGAATCCTAAATCAGATGTATCAGTTCAAGTAATCAAGATGATATCAATGATGGAATGAAAGAGAAATATAAAACTGTCTATAAGAACCTTAGTAACATTTTTCAAAGAAGGAATTACCAAATGTAAATGTTTAATGAATCATCAACAGAAAATGAAATATTTTGCTTGCTAGTTTTACTATAAACATTGAACACCTTCACTAAGTTATTTTTTAACAAATCAATCCCAAATGTAACTTTATCATAACAATTATCCAAGACTTACCGAAGCGATTATAGTTTTGATGAATGAATCAAAGTAATTCGTATAATTCGTATACACAGAATAAATATGGAAATTCTTTGTTTAAATTGAATTCTATTTTGTTATATTATGATTAGGATGTGCTTCCAAAAACTTCTCTCCTATATATTATAACCAAATATTGTTTTATTATCCATTTTATAAATTTTGTAATATTATAAACATGGAATTACTTTATCATATTATTATAACTGTGTATATTATTTGTTGAGATTTCCTATTTCAGCCCTGTTTCATTTAGTAATAACTTTTGATTGGTTCACTTACATTTCTTCCTTATTCACTATAGAATTATACACATTTATTGTGTTATTATTGTGTGCTAATACAAATATGTCCAGTCATCCATTTGGTCATTAGACCAATATCCCATTCCTCTTTTTTTGTTGTTGTTGTTTTGTTTTACAAAGTTCCGACCAAATCAATAAAAAATAATCGATCATGTCTGTAAAAGTCTTTATTAATAAGTTCACTGAACTGGGAAATTGATGATGTTACTAAGAACAACAACAACAACAACGACAGCAACAACAAAAATGAGAGTGAAATCATCGAAACAGTGGAATTTAAGAAAAGGGTAAGGTTGAAATTTCGTAATCTAGTTAAAAAGAATTTTGATATTTAAAAGACAGTTGTCTAGAATTCGTTGACAATAGTTAACTTCCAAGAAGATTATTTATTGTATTTTCTGAAGAAGAAAAAAAACAAACGATTATAATGTTGCATTCTACTTAGTAAAGTGATTTGCATAGATTTAAATTAGGTAATTAGAATGAAAAATTTAGATAACAAACAATAATCTATTTTCTTATTCTAGACAATAATGAATCAGTGACAAAATATCAAAACTTTTGTTTGGTACTAAAATAACAAAAAAATATAGAGCATCTGTTAACAATGTATATTGTCAATGGTTGAGATTATGAGTCAGTTGAATCTAGATCACTATGGTAAACCTGGAAGCACTGGACGCCTGTTTCGTCCTATTGTAGGACTCCTCAGCAGTGCGTATATTTTATTTAGTTTTGTTATATCAATTCCTTTACAACTATGGATCATGAAAATCTAAATGGAAAAGAAACAACAATGTTCAAGTATGAAAAGTGTTATAGTCTAATCTAATCTACTAGATTAACGATATATCTATTAATTCTGTCATAATTTCTGTTACATAATTGATAAACCATTCGATATTCAAGTCAGATAAATAGGTATAAATGCCTTTATTAGTTGAATGTATAAATCATATACATAGATAAGTAAGACATAAAATCAAAATATATATAAATCCAATCATATTTGTAACTAGAAGATTTTTGAAATAAATCTATTTTTAACTATGTTCCTACCTCTCTGGAAGGGAACAGAGACTTCCACCCCCTTACTAACAAAAATAATGTGTACTAGTATTGAAGTTGTGGAGATTATTAAGTTTTTTGATTGGTGTTAGACCACCGTTGGAAACCTGGAAGCATTGAACGGCCGTTTCGTCCTATTTCGGGACTCCTCAGCAGTGCGTATCCACGATCTTGTTCGCAGGATTCGAACCCAGGGCCTTCAGTTTTGTGTCATGATGACAATTAGAAACTTAACAAAGAACTGAACTGAGAAGCATCAAAGAACAAAATAACTTTTCATATGTAAATTATCCATATAAGTAAAACTGATTACTTATAATAAATAATAGGAAAAATCATGAACAATAAACCAGTACAATTTTTAAAATTAAATACTATTCCTTTGTAGATTTCTAAGTGGAATTTTATTACAATCATATCACAAGTTCCAATCTTATCTTTGTTATATCCCGATGACAATAATGAATGGTAACTGCCGGGATCTATTTTTGGACTAGTACTATACATATATATTTTTTATTGTGTAATTGTTAAGTAACCAAACTATATATATTCACATTCCTCTTATTATACGCTTTATTTCAACTTATAGACTATTATTATATGATTTACCATTCTTAAGTTATACCCAGTTTATTTAGTACAGTTTCCCACATTCACAGTCACTTTGGGCTAGAACTTGTACAAATGTTATTGTCTATCTTACGGTGCAATGTGGTCTGTTTGATTTGTATATAATCCCAGTATGTTTGAAATACATGATTCATATCGCAGAGGCTGAGATTTGTATTCTGGACTTAACAGGTAGGGCTAGGAAGGCAGAAGAATCGATGAACACTAGAGACTTCTCGTACGGGTTTATACGTCATTGGTCCGGTCGATAAGTTACTGTTCTCTAATTGGCGGTATCGTTACGCTATATATTAATAGGACGCAAGGTCATAAATTATAACAATCATATCAATCCAAAAACAAATCGAGTTGACAGAAAAATTGTTCATTCATTCATTCTAAACTCCAGTACATGTATTACAGACTGAAACAAGCCAAAAAAAAATCAAAATGTGAAATGGTCACTGCACGTAGACTTATGACCGCATTTTCTTTTGAAGTGAACTATCTTAAATTCAACTTTGATTTAATGACTTCTTAGTGAAGGGATTGGGTGAAAAATCCAATGAAAAACAAAATTTAAGTTACTGGAAAAAAAGAATAAGAAATAGTAATTTATTAAATTCACTTGGTGTTGTTTTACTTGTATCTTCCAATTGTTATTTAGGACTGCAACTGATCAGTCTCATGCTTGCATATGTTCATCCTGTGCGGATTGCCTCGATATAGCCTTAAGTCATAATCTTTTTAAGCAAAGATGGATAGTGGTTAGCAATGGAAACGCGTTTCGTCCTACTAGGGACTCGTCAACTGGATGTACCTGTATCCCATAGTTGATGTTCACTCCGAGATTTGAATCGAGTACTGTTCGCTTCAAACACTATCGTGTTATCCACTTAGCTGCTAAGTCCCGATAGCTACCTGTTTGTGCAATATGGGGAAGTTTAAATTCATTTGGTGTTGTTTACTTTTATCTTCCCATTATTATTTAGGACTACAATCGGTCAGTCTCTTTTTGGCATATGTGTATGCAGGTACATTCAGTTGACCAGTGTCAAATGGAACGTAACGCGAGTCTTGGATTACACTGTTAGCCACTATCCATCTTTGCTTAAATAGTAATTTTTCTACTTAAAAATTTCTATAACTTGTTCAACTGTTATTCAAATGTCAAGAAAGATGCTTTCGAAGCTTATCAACATATCAATTTGTTTTGTACTTATGATTTCTGATAACCTGTTTACTTTACTGTTTGTTTATTCTGTATAATAAATATATTTCTGTTCAATTTTCTGATATCATATTAAACTTTTCAATCATTAAAACTGAATAGATTACATTTTGGGCATAACTTAAACAAAATCGACTTCATCAAATAGATGTAATCACTTAACTAGGGTATACTGATATCATGACATGTCATATGTCATATGTCCAGAGTTGAATACAAAAATTGATTCATATTAATTATTAAATTCATTGCTCTCTGTTTTGTATAGAGAAAGTTTTAACATAGTACTTAAGTTTTAATCAAACTTTCCAAGATGATCTTATATATATTATTAGATATAATGCATCATAAGAATCTATCATTCCTATATCTGTCTCTCATTTCAAACTTAATCAACCTTATAGGTTTGTATATATTATATCCAACAGGCTAAGTCTTTGAATATAGTTCGATTCGTTTCTATTTGAGTAATACAGAAACTAAATATGAGTTGGGGTACAATAGACTTCTACTAAAAGCGCATTTCTTTTTTAATTTCTTTATTGTCGAATAGGGGATAAGACATATGAAAGTAACTAATGGAGATCTTATTTAAAAATTAAGTATTGTCGTGGTGTGTGCTACTGATGTCGACAGATATAAGTGGTATGTGTCATCAATCGAAAGTGAAATGTCTGAAGGAAGAACATCAGGAAGATCGAATAAAAGCAAACGAGAACAAAGAACGATCGGTTATGCAAACGAAAGAACAATGAAGTCTGAGACGATTGATTAACATCTGCTAAATGAATAGTCAAGTTTGAGACAAATGATTAACATTTTACAAATGAAGTATTTACTGTATGATTCTCAGAGTTTACTAAGAGATTCTGTAATTTTGCATTCAAATTTATTCGATTGTCCCCACTTGTATTCTCATTCAATACACTATTATCTACTTTTCTATGATGAATTTACTTTCTTTATCATGTTATAAATTTATACAAAGAAAAGGAATGAAATTACATTAAGCTATGCACAATTTAGTCTTATCATTTAGAAAGGCTTTTTATTATTAACACAGTAACATCAACATTTCCACATATATTCAATACATCATAGTAATTAAAGAACTATTCATATCATATCTATTATAACAGTATGCGTTTTCATAATGGGTATATAAGGTAAACAATTGTAATCCGCATTTTCACATGCAGTTTAGAAACATTTTCGACTCATTTACATTAAAGAATATACATTAATTTTAGCTGTTGTTAGCCAACTTCTTTCTTATATATATTAAATATGGGATAATCTAGTTGGTTAAACTAATATATGTAATCGCTTAGCTTACATTTCTAAATATAAACCATTGATTTTGATTCTGCTAAATGTCAGTTGGTCTAAATCTAGTTCATATTTCGATTATGAGAAATTAGATGATTTTCGTTACACATAACTGTTCATCAATTTTTGTTTTTGGCGTTTTCTTCAAATAACAGATAAGAATTAAATTTGATAGTCAAAACATAATTTTATTGACCAAAGAGTGATTTTAATAGTTAAATTCATGAGTCAGTTGAAGTTAGACCACCATGGAAAACCTGGAAGCACTAGATTAGTGATGTCTTATAGAAAGGTAATCAAATCTTCACTATGAGACCACCTACCTTGAAATAAGATCATATTCTTGAGTTGTAAATCTTATCCACTATTTCAGTTAACTGTAGTTAAATAAAAATAGTGTATATAACATTGATTGACTTCTTGATCCTCTACTGTGTTCGTTATGTGGTTGTAAAATGAAAATGATCCCTGTTCATTTAACAATTAAAAGTAATAGAAATTTTTTAGAAATAATTGTCTTTTAATTTTGTATTTGTATAAGATATGTATTGTGATCCGATATTGTTTTGTTCATCAAGATGATATATATAGGAGTGCGTTTTTGGGCTTGTGATACCATAAGATCGGCCTTAGTGTAACTTAAGGATAGGTTCCCAAAGGAAGAACAACAAAATATTTTCTATGAGATTAACTGTG